CCCCCCACCCCCCTATGACGGTGTAACGGTTAAAATTATCAGAATAAAGGGTAGGTTTCGTGGTTTATTTATATTTTCCTCCTCCGCTGGGAGGTTGCGTGTCAATTTGTAACTCCGGTAATTAAATGTCTCCTCCGGTGGCCCGGTTCCGGAGAAATATGCTGCTACTATCTTCCATGATTCGGGTTTTCAAGCATTATTTGAGTCTTTTGGAGTTAAAGTTTAGAGATAATCCAATATGATATAGAACGCTCTGTATTCAGTATAATATGATTGATTTAATTGAAAAACTTGTTTAAAATTTAAGGTCTGCATGGGACAGATCAAAGGATTAGATCGAATTTTAAATTCTAAAGAAAAAATCTATAGTTAAAAAAACATCTCATACATTTTTTAAAAAATGTGCATGACTTTCAAAATTGTAAGCATAACTGCAGTATACGTTGTTATCTTTTAATAATCAAATTGTAGAATTTTCTTTAAAATGATACCTGTGAAAAATGTGAATATTTTTTCCACGAAGTTTTAGAAGTATTTTACACAAAATCTAGAAAATTTAATTTTTAAAATATTCATTTATTATTAATATTTTACGAAACAGTAATCCCAACATTAATGCAAAAAAGTTTTAAAAAGAGAAATGAAATGAAAATAAATGTTGACACCCATTTGACACCATATCTACAAACTCTTGCATTTCCTATTTCTATTCATGCATAATGAGTACCTAAATGAGTACCTAAATGAGTACCTAAATGAGTACCTAAATGAGTACCTAAATGAGTACTTAATGAGTACTAAATAATGAGTACCTAAATGAGTACCTAAATGAGTACCTAAATGAGTACCTAAATGAGTACCTAAATGGTACTTAATGAGTACTAAATGAGTACCTACATGAGTACCTAAATGAGTACCTAAATGGGTACCTAAATGATTACCTTAATGAGTATCTAAATGAATACCTAATGAGTACCTAAATGAGTACCTAAATGATTACCTAAATGAGTACCTAAATAATTACCTAAATGATTACCTAAATGAGTACCTAAATAATTACCTAGATGAGTACCTAAATGATTACCTAAATGAGTACCTAAATGAGTACCTAAATGAGTACCTAAATGAGTACCTACATGAGTACCTAAATGAGTACCTAAATGAGTACCTACATGAGTACCTACATGAGTACCTAAATGATTACCTGAATGAGTACCTAAATGAGTACCTAAATTACCTAAATGAGAACCTAAATGAGTACCTAAATGAGTACCTAAATGAGTACCTAAATGAGTACTTAAATGTGCACCTAAATGAGATAAATTGTTTGAAAAAATACCTTGTGAGCTTTCCAATCTTTTTTCTGACACTCTTTGGAACAATAGAAAACCATCAAGCAACCTTGAACAAGTTGAAAATAGAAATACAAAGGTTTAAGGCCTATTCAGGAAGAGGCCGAGTTTAAAGAATTTATGCATCGTCGCTACTCGCTGATCCGCCAAAAACCAGTTCCGGTTCAAATATCAAAACACCATGAATACAATTTCAAGCGTAACCAACCAGGTTTGAGCCATGTCTCAAATTTGAGACGCGATTCAAATTTTTCAAATCCGGCCTCAGATAAATCTGACCATTTGCACTGTGCAACTTCAAGCAGCTAAAAGTGTTACAAGAAAAAAGGGCCGGGCGTGAGTCGAGCCTACAATCTAAAAAAAATTATGCAGCAGAAAACGGTGTAATAGGAAGACGACATATTATCCCGATTGTGCTATTGTTGTCTAATATAGATTAATATGATTTTGCCCTTAGAGTTGAGAAAGAAGAGTCTGATACATGTTCCTAGTCAAACTTTTCAAGGCCTTCAATTTAAAAATATACCTCTATCTTTAATGGTTAGTGTGCAAGGGAAAAAAGTGCAAAAAGTACGTCGAAAAATGTTCAAAAATAAATGTTTTTATTTGTAACAAATATTTAGATGTTATTTTTCAAGGGCTCTTCAAAAAAATTTTAAAAACTTTATTAACCATTTCTGATTTTTTTAGTCCCGCCGTATGACTGTCCTCCACCCTACCCTATACATAAAAAAGATTAAGTGTGTATTTGATTGTTGTTACGAAGAAAACAGTGTAAGTAAACACTCGTCTTCCTATTCCAGAGTTGTCTGGTTCTCGCAATACCTGAGCAGGAACTATGGTTTCCAATAGTCTTACAGACTGGACAAAGACCAAAGAAATGTCGTCTTTCAAGTTTCCTTTCTCCTAATACCAATGGTTCTCCGTTTTTATCCTAAAAAAATGGCTCTGTTTTTTTACAAATTACATGTCTTACTAAACCAAGACTGTAAAGATTATTATATTATATCGATAGTATTCGAGTATTTCAAAAACTATCTTGTATTTTTATATATCTAAAAAAATGTATAAACAAGAAGAATCTAAATAAAAAAAAAACTTTGATAACATTTCATGAAACTTTAAGTAAAAGGTTTTCATCAATGCATTAGTATAAGTTGCAAACTGTTATTATGAGTATTCGAAAGAAATATTTATCTTTGTGATATTTACAGTGAACACCATAAATTGATATCTTTTAATTGCGGAGAACAAAAAATATACCTTTTTTGGATTTTTGAAATTTTTATTTATTATTGTTAAAAAATGCTAAAAAGGGACTATCTTTTTAATTTAACGCCATCTTTCTTGCTAATAGAGCTGGGGGCATGCCCGATCCAGAATGGTAATCTGTAATCTTTATTTGAGGAAATTATAAAAGATATCATTGTTTTTATTAGTCTAAAATTCATAGAATTTCTTCACTGTTTCTGAAAAAAAAACCTTAATTGAAAATAATTAATGTTTAAAGGGAATATATATAATGGATATTGCTTTTTTACTCCACGAAGCTGTTAAGGGTACCGTTGCGTGAATCGGACATGCAACTCTGTAAATGGAGGGTCACTTGAAATTACGACTACATTCCCTTTAATCTACTTTTATTTCTAGTCCGGTTCTTGACAAACAATCCCTTTAATTTACTTTTATCTCTAGTCCGGTTCTTGACAAACAATCAACTTAATTTACTTTTATTTCTAGTCCGGTTCTTGACAAACAATCAACTTAATTTACTTTTATTTCTAGTCCGGTTCTTGACAAACAATCAACTTAATTTACTTTTATTTCTAGTCCGGTTCTTGACAAACAATCAACTCTCCATTTTTCCATTTTATCTAAGATTTCCAACTCTCTTTCCAACAAATATTATAATATACCATCTTGAAAGTTACAAATTAAAATCCCGATTGACATTTCTTTAATAAAAAAGTTTTAAAAAAGCACCAATCAAACTATTTTTGTTATTATACAGTAAAATAACAGGTTCTTCACATATTTTTGTATAAAATCTTTTAAAAATCTACTTTTGTAAAAATGTTAACCTTGCATTAATAAATAGCTTACTCTTTTTCCAACTATGTATATCTATAGTCTACACTTTATTGCATGGTCATTGGTCATCATGTATTTAAAATCTTCACCATTTTGCAAATATCTTTAAATGAAATGAGTCTTTGCCACAAAATCTGATTTTTTAATCTCTATTTTTTGCAATCCAATGTCGTAGACCTTAGATATTTGCAACTATGATTTAGAAATTATAAGATTTGAGTTTGTGGCAAAGACTCAAGTTGTTTCTTGAACAACTTTGCTACAAATCAATTCTTTAGTTAAAAAATGATAATGATAATCAATCCCTTAAAGGGTTAGGTTTTCTAATGGTTTCTTATGTATCAAAATATACAGCAGATGTCATTGTCCAATCATGATTAAAGTCCAATTCTAAAAGGTTTCTTTTTCGTTAGACTTAAAATGTTTCTCCAAAACAACATTTTCCTGATTTTTACTCTAAAAATGTTTGCACAGAACTTTGGATGTAATGAAGCAAACACAAATCTTCAAACATTTTTCTAACAAATTTCATTCATTATTGAAGTTTTTGATTTTATACGGTTGATGCCGGAGATGCAAATTTCATTCATTTTTGAAGTTTTTGATTTTATACGGTTGATGCCTCAGATGCAAATTTCATTCATTTTTGAAGTTTTAGATTTTATTTATGGTTGATGCCTCAGCTCAGATGCAAATTCCATTCATTTTTGAAGTTTTTGATTTTATTTACGATTGATGCCTCAGATGTAAATTTCATTCATTATTAAAGTTTTTGATTTTATTTACGATTAATGCCTCAGCTCAGATGTAAATTTCATTCATTTTTGAAGTTTTTGATTTTATTTACGATTGATGCCTCAGATGTAAATTACATTAATTTTTGAAGTTTTTGATTTTATACGATTGATGCCTCAGATGCAAATTTCATTCATTTTTGAAGTTTTTGATTTTACTTACTATTGATGCCTCAGATGTAAATTTCATTAATTTTTGAAGTTTTAGATTTTATTTACTATTGATGCCTCAGATGCAATTTTCATTAATTTTTGATGTTTTTTAATTTTATACGGTTGATGCCGGAGATGCAAATTTCATTCATTTTTGAAGTTTTTGATTTTATACGGTTGATGCCTCAGATGCAAATTTCATTCATTATTAAGTTTTTGATTTTTTCTACGATTGATGCCTCAGATGTAAATTTCATTAATTTTTGAAGTTTTTGATTTTATACGATTGATGCCTCAGTCTCTCAGATGCAAATTTCATTCATTTTTGAAGTTTTTGATTTTACTAACGATTGACGCCTCAGATGCAAATTTCAGTCATTTTTGAAGTTTTAGATTTTATTTACTATTGATGCCTCAGATGCAATTTTCATTAATTTTTGATGTTTTTGATTTTATTTACGATTGATGCCTCGGTTTTGAACCGATTTTTGTTATTTTTAATATTGGTATAATATTTCCAAACTTTTACCAAATAATATTTATAATTTAAATTTTGTAAATCCTTTGATGTTAAAACAAACACACTCTATACAAGAGGTTTGTTTGCACCAATAGAGGGAAATGTTGAGCTACTAAATGTAATGTACTATTGTCAATTACTCTAAAAAAAGCTTTGGTATGAATTCCACCATCGAACAGTTTTATTACAATTTTTAATGTTCAACGAAAATCGGTTCAAAATTAAGCTCGTGGCATTAACTACTGTTTTTTATAGAAAAAAAAATAAACAATGTGATTAGTAAAACTTCACTAAGCTTCGTTTAGAAACTGTGTCCAAGTATAGTGTAACGTGAACTATAGGAATATGATTCTCTCTCAACTCTGTAAATAATAGTTGGAAATTTTCCAATTTTTCTCAAGTATGTATATTTATACATAAACAATATGGGGAATCTATGCTATGTACAGGGTTACCACACAAGAATGAGTATTTAAATATACGACCAGAGTCTAAAACTAAAGAATGCGCGAATTTTAAGTTCGAGGTTAAAAGTTCTGTAAAATAATGAATAGCTATTTAAATATTAAACTTTCTCAATTTTAAATTTGAATTTCCCGGGAAAATCTGAACCAATCAGAGAAAAGGATTTACGGAGAATATTACATAACCATCGCTAATCAGCTGTTCTTACGTAACTGAAAACAAAACATACAACTGTTTTTTGGGTTTACATCCAGAAATTAATTTATCTAAAACGTGAAATTTCTTTAACAAGGTTTTCATTTTTAAATATATCGTTAAGTTGAATGCCGCTTTCTCAGCTGCAGCTGAATGATGATTGAATAATAGACAAATAGGGAAAATGCAGGATTTCAAGATAATTTAAACCTGTGATTAAATTTAAACTCGTCGATTTCGGCGAGTTAAATATTTAACCACAGGGTTGAATATTTAAGTTAAAGTTCAGGTTTAAATTAAGTCAGAAGTGGCATTTAACCATGGAACTTAAAATTTAAGTCAAAACTTTTCGTTCTTTAGTTTTGGACTCTGTAACTTTTCAAATGTTAATTAAAACTTAAATTTGGCTTTCTCTATCTTAAGTTAGGTTTAGTTATTAAAGCTACATATTAAAGGGAATATATTTGTAAACATGGAAATATCTGATTACAACGGAACCCAACAGCTTTGTACTAATGGGAGTATATTTGTAAACATGGAAATATCTGATTACAATGGAACCCAACAGCTTTGTAGGGAGTATATTTGTAAACATGGAAATGTGTCTGATTACAACGGAACCCAACAGTTTTGACCGATAATGAATGAATTAGATATCGATGTTTATAATCAAGATGTTATACGATCATCAGTAAACTTGAAAAATTATCCTCCGAGCTCAACAATACTTCTCCATAACATAAGAGCTTAAAAATAAGAATTTTATTTTAAATAATTTACATTTGTAAAGATTTTGAAAAATCAACATTTCTGTAAAGGAGCTCGACTGTCTCTCCACGGCTTATGTCATTTGTGGAAATATTTTTTGAAAGAAGGATGGAAAGCTAGACCAACCAACGCATATTTGTTTTATAACATGAAACATATTTTCAAAATTGGATTCGTCTTAAAGGAACATTTCATAATTTTTTATGGTAAGGGCGTATAGATGGGTTGTTCTGAGGGGGGGGGGGAGGGGCCCACGGCCACCATATATTCTTAATTAAAATGTTTTCTTATTTTCAAACACCTAACGACTGCTGTTCTTTCTAAATTTTCAACAAAATTGTCACCAACCCCCCACATCTGACCCCCCCGAGAATAAATTCTGCATTTACGATATACTTTAATTTTAAGAAACAAATATTCTTTAAGATAATCTTAAACTTGTTTAGGTTTCATCAATTTTGATAATTTTAATAATTAACATAATAGTTTCCTATGACCAGAATATTTCATTGACTTTTTATGTGAAAAATGGATCCCCTGCAGGCTTTGACATCAGTCTTGTGTTTACATTACCGCCCAGAGACAGTACACTGCAATACAAAAGATGCGTACACCTCTGAAATAATTTTCCTTGCATTATAACCTTGGGTTTCATGCATGCCGGGTCTGTCAGGAAATTTATGTACTGCATGAAGTTGACATGTGAAGGAAATCAGGAAAATCATGAAGTTCTATTTCAAGAAATCTTAGGAGTTACTTTACTTAATGTACTTAAAAAATAAGAAAGAAGAGTGACATTGAGTAAGCTAACATTCAAAGAGAGAAAATCATACATGATACAAGGAACATTGACAAATAACAGGTGCATTTGCAGAGAGGCGCAACTAGGGGGGTGGGGTCATTGTGCCCCCCCTTAAAAACCCCTTTTTTGAAAAAATATTAATACCTTTTTTAACTATGTAAACTATTCGATCATATACACACTTCCATATAACATGTATAAATAAATTATTTATGTAATTTCCTTCATCCCTCTTACTGTGGTGTAACTTGTAAGCTTCAAGGGATAAAAAATAGAGATTGAAACGTTTCTAAAAAATATCGATATTTCCATAGGATTGATACGTATTGTATAATAAATTATGATATCAAATATGTATTTACATTGAAGGCAGTATTATTGATTAAAGCTTTTTTAATGAAACGTTTTTAGTTACGGGCAAAAATGAGATTTTATAAGTTTTTTTATGATGTAACTATATTTGAATAGAATAAATGCGTAATTTCAAGTGACCCTCCATTTATAGAGTGGGATGTCCGATGTACCTTTGAAGCCTTCATCATCTCCATCGTTTCTGAAGCAAGAAATGCACGAGTCACTTTTGTATATAGAAACCACAAATAAAAATAATCAGTTTTCAAATTGGGAAACATGGATGAATGTTTAATGCAATACTTGACCAGACAAAGCTTTGAAGGGTATTGTTGTGAATCAGAATATATTTTATTTCTTTTCAATTAATCTTCTAGTTTGAGTGACTTGTGAGTGCAATGCAATGCAATGTAGAATGTAGATTGCCTGAGGAAGGGAAACGCAAGCAGATAAATATTAAAAGCAGATAATATTAAAAGAGCCCCCCCCCCCAAATGATTTTGTTGTAATAAAAACAAATTCAATCCCAGACCCCCTCTCCTTTCAATTTTTTTTATATGTTCCAACGTTAAAGGAGGAGGGGGAGGGTGACGGGTGAGGGGGGTCATCATGCGGAGGGGGAACGATGGGGTTCCGGCCCCCACGTTCGTTTATGATACAGACGTTTTAGAGCGTTGAGGGAAAATAAATTAAATTACTTTTAATTCATGAAATATTGTAAGTTTCGCTGAAATATATTTTTATATATTAGTAATTCTCTCAAAACCCTATACTATATACAATTTCCCGACGCCCCCCACTACAGCTTTGAAGGGGGGGGTCTTAAATAGGGGACCAAACGCCGGTACCCTTACCCCCACCAGCCCCCGGCCCCCTCCTGCTTACTGCTTGCTTAGTTTAGTTAGTTTGAATCTGACTGAGTATCGGAGCAGCGACATTCAAATATACAATAAGACTATATCCAAAATATAAATCAAACATGGCCTGCAATTGACTACATCATACAACAGTGAATATAATAAACTTGTGAAATAGAAAAATTCACGATGAAATCTTTTCATTTGAAATGGGCATCACATCTACCAAATATGGGACAGGTACAGTTTAGTTGCAAACAAGACATATTATTTTATCATTTATTTGTGTGTTTTTTTATTATTGATAGCTACATAAAAAGATTCATACGTATAGATTTGTAACATTTTTTGTTCAAGAAAAGTTTGAAAAAGATTTTATCATTCTGTCAGTAAAATAGTTTACTTAAATAATAATCATCTACATATAAATCTATTTATAGTATCTATGATATCTTGATATTTTACAATATTATGCAGGATCCGTCTTAGTATTTGATTTTTGAACCCCCCCCCCGCCCCCCCCCCCTAGCCTATCAATTTTGTACATGACCACTTATTTTTCAGCAAATTTATTATTATTTTTTTTTTAATTTAGGGTTAGGTTAGGTTAAGACACTTTTTTGGGCCGAGCGCTGCGGCTAGGACAGGCTAGGGGGCCGAGCGCTGCAGCCACGGGTTAGGTTAAGTTAAGACACTTTCTGGGCCGAGCACTGCGGCTAGGACAGGCTTAAATTTAATTTACATTTAAGATCCATGTACAAAATTGATAGGAGGGGGGGGGGGGCGGCAAAAATCGTATACTAGGAAATTAACGGTCCGTCCTAGAGAACGACCCTGTATTTATCGTTTTATCTATGTATTTAGCACCCTGTATTGTGTATATTTTTATTTATCTAGGTTTTTAACACCCTGTATCTATCTATCCGGGTATTTAACACCCTGTATCTTATCTCTCTAGGTATTAAACACCCTGTAGGCTGTATCTATCTTGGTATTAAACACCCTCTATCTATCTATCTGAGTATTCAACACCCTGTATCTGTTTATCGAGGTATTTAACCCCCTGTATATATATATTTATGTAGGTATTTAACACCCTGTATCTTATCTCTCTAGGTATTAAACACCCTGTAGGCTGTATCTATCTTGGTATTAAACACCCTCTATCTATCTATCTGAGTATTCAACACCCTGTATCTGTTTATCGAGGTATTTAACCCCCTGTATATATATATTTATGTAGGTATTTAACACCCTGTATCAGACTGAAGGACTGGCTGATGTTACTTTGTCCTGTGAGGACGGTTCTGTTAAAGCGCATAAACTTGTCCTTTCAACCTGCTCGGACTACTTTTTGGTAATATAGTCTTATTATTATTTTTACTTTGATTTTCAATTATCATTTATTATTTATTTAAAATTATTATCAGTAATCTACCATCTTTTTATCTATTTTCATTATTATTTTTACATCAATTATCTTTTTATTAATTATTTAATTATTATCATTAATCTACCATTTATGTATTTTCTATTATCACTATCTTTTTTCTTTTATCTACTATCATTATTATTTTTACTATGATTATCAATTATCTTTTTATTATTTATTTAATTATTATTATTAATCTACCATCTATTTTTTTATCATCAATTATCAATTATATTTATCATTAAATATCACATATCTTTAATTATCTTTTTTCCTTTTATCTTTTATCTTTAATTTTTATATCAATCAATTTTCTATTATCACTTCATGTTTATGATTATTATCTATCATCTATTGGCTATTCTCTTTTTTCTTTTATAATTCATATCATATCATAAATATATTACATATCAAATTATTATCTAATATCTTTTATCTTTTATCCTTGTATCTTTTATCTATTATTTTTTATCCATTATCTTTTATTCATCATCTTTTATGTCAATGATATGGTAAGTTATCAAAAATATATATTTAAAAATCAAAAATATACTTTGCCGTATTTTATGTGTTCTTTATTTAGGAACTGTTTCTTGAGTGTAATGCGAAGCGCCCTGTTCTAGTTTTATCAGAAATTAAAGTTTCAGACCTTAAAGATCTCATGGGATTCATCTACACAGGAGAGGTAAGCAAATTTAAAACAAAATTTATAACTCCATTTTTTAAAAGTTAAATTGTTTTGCTTAATTTGCTTAGCTACTCATGTTACATAACATTACCTTTATTTTGAGTATTCTTAATTTATTTTTTTTTCAAAAAGAATTCTTTTTATCTTAACTTTTATTTCCAATATTTTTAGGTAAATGTGGACGAGGAGCGCCTGGCCTCGTTGCTCGAGGTTGCCGAGGTCCTCGGTGTTCGAGGACTCCATCACAGTGCTCCCAAGGACAAAAAATCCTCTGAGTCTGATTCTAAGGCCGATGAGATTGTTAATATCAAAATGGAGGCTCAGATTGAGGAGCAGGAAGAGGAGTCAGATGGTGAAATAGAAGAAAAGCAGGAGGAGGAAGAAACGCAGAAGACTGATGTACATCTGGTTAAGACTGAAACATTGTACAGCCAGGTCCCCAGCAGTACACAGTATAACCCACCAGTATCCTATGGACTTACCCTAGCACAGTCGGATAAAATTTTGAGCCAGCCAATGCTTGCAAATCCGCCAAATGCACTTAACATGGAAGCTCCGCCAGAACAACCTAATGTACAATCTGTTGATCCGTACAGGGGGTACAACCAGCAGCATGTGACACCAATGATGAATATGTCTAATCTGGCGGCCATGTACCACCAGGCCCAGGTGCAATCAGTCAATCAAACAAGTCCAGACAAAAACAAACAAAAAACTTCCCCAGACAGTAAATCATCGACAGGGGAAAAAATACAAATGGGTAAGACTAATTAATTATTTATTAAAAAAAATTGGATTTATCAAAAATTTCAAAGCCAACTACTCTGGTTAAGTTTTTCGTTACAGTAACTAACCCAAATTATCAAAAGTTAAATAATCAAAAAATATTAGTTTAATTTGAAGTGTCCAAATTTAATCAAGTTAATTTTGGCAGATTTATTGTAAGAACTTAATTAACCTTTTTTGAAATACTTAAATAATATCTTAATTTTTGAGAGTTCAAAGATGTCCGGGGGGGGGGGGTAAAATGTTTCTTACTTTCTGTTAATAACAAATTATTGTGGTTTTTTCTTCAGAAAAACAAGTTTCAATAATTAGGTACAAATAAATGTTTCATCTGATGTTTAAGGGGCAAGATTGATTTATTTAAGTTCAAAATAAAAAATAGTGTTTTCATATTTTTTAATAGTTCTTTTTTAACCAACCTTTATGTTCCTTAGATTTACTACCAGAAGATGTGAATAATATAATGAACGAGGCGACGAGTCCAATCTGTCCGGTCTGCGCAAAGGATTGCGCAAACCTTCATAATCTTAGATCTCATCTTTCCGTCCATACAGTAAGTTAAAAAATTTGTCTAATTAATAGTCACGCTATTAAAGGGCGTAATCCTAGACCTGCCATGCAAAGATAGAAATGCCCGATTAACAAAGGAACCCATTTATAAACCTTTATCTAATCAGGAATATGGTTTTAAAATGGTTTTAATCTGATAATTCCTTCATGTTTTCCTGTATCAGAAATGCGCATGTCACTTAGTAGAGAAATTACAACTGAAAGTTATCTGATTTCAAAATTACTAATATTTTTATCTAATTCATACTTAATCAGACGATTGCCATCTTCAAAAATGTTTGGAACAAAATTTTCGGATTTTGAAATTTCTCGAATTCGATGCCAATTGTAGTTTTATTAATAATTATGCTTTAATATAATGAAAAGTGTGCGCCTACCTAAAAACAGTAAAAATGTTGACAGAAAAAAGTAATTATACCGAGATATTTAACATTTTCTTCAATTGTTTTCCTGTATTTTATTGTAAATATTTTTCATTTGTGAAATGTTTGCATTGAGAGATGCATCGTTATATTTTTAAATTTTCAGATGTTGATAATTATAAATTTAGTTTTAAAGTTAACTAAACTATACTAATTTACTCTTTTTTAGATGCAAAACAATATCAAACCTTTCTGCTGTACTTTCTGTGATGCCAAGTTTGCTCGAGTTTCTCATTTAAATCGACACATTAGGAACTAAAAATATGGATTTTAAAGATTCTCAATCTAATTGTTAATGAGTAGATTTTATTCAATTATTTGATTGATTTAACGTTTATTTATTTTTTGGTATTCTTAGAACACATACTGGAGAACGACCTTTTCCCTGTACACTTTGTGATAGAAGCTTTGCTAGACAAGATAAACTGAAAGCACACATGGACAGACATAATAAGGAATTTAACACATGATCTAACATAAACATTGGCCTTCCAAATAATATTAATTTAAATAAAATAAAAGTCTAGGACTGAGAACTCTTGTATTGTGAATATGGAGATCAATGCTTGATCTTGATCTTTAGTAATCTGCAGATTAATTTTATCTGTATTCGATATCCCGCATTTTAATCGTGCCCAGTCTTGAAATGAAGGGAGGGTTTTGATCGGGAGAGGAAATAACTGAAATAAAGAGATTAAGCATTGATTCTTAAATTTAAAAGTGCGCACATTGGATATCGAGATCAAGCCATTGGATATCGAGATCAAGCCATTGGATATCGAGATCAAGCCATTGGCGTTATAAGTATCCAACACAAAAGCTCCCAGCTTAATTTTCAAAAAACCAAATTAATAATTTCATCATGTGTTAAACTCAGGAAGGTGGGATGTCTATGATGCCCCCTGCTAAAAAGAAGAAGAAGGAAAAATCCCCCCTGAAGCAGGAGGCCCCTGCTACCCCGGACCCTATGACTCAATACCACAACCCGAACTCCCTGTGGAACGGGTTCCCTATGTATGAGAACTATCAGCCCGTGTATCCTGGAATGGTGAACCCTGGATATGTTCCTCCGCTACAGAACGTGATGAGAATCGGAGAATGTTCCATTAAACCAGTCGGACAATAGTACCGATCCTTTATATTATACCACAGTGGTGTCGTCGTATATATCAATACAATGAAGTCCAGGGTCCATTTGAGGGAATTGCAAAGAAATCTTACAGATTATTTTTCACTTTTATTAACAGCTTATTTTGGGAACATTCATTTGTCTCTACTGAAAAAAGTTACGAAAAGTTTAACAAGAAAGTCGTCATTATTATATTAATATATTTCTCTCGCTGTATTTTAGTCAGGGGATATATATTTCCAAAAAAATATGAATAGCCTGAGAGGTGAATACCTAAAGGGAACTTGGCAATTAAAAACCTGGGGAAAAACTTTCGAACTTATATACAAGGAAATTAACTTAAATATTGAACAAATTTAGAATTTAGCTAGCATTGATCTCATTTATATCATTTCGTTCTCAATTTTTAATTTTATAAGTCACAAATTTAATTTTCAATATTTAGGATATCTATAATAGGAAAATATACATTTATAAATAATGGATTGCAAAGCTAATTTAGCTGGTTTCTACAAAAAGATAATTTAGCCCCCCCCCCCTCCCCTCCCACATGACAAAACCACATTGTTCTTTTAAATGAAATTTTTTTGCTAATATGGGAAGTTTGCGCTTAAAATTTTAAGAAGAAAAAATATGTAAGGGTATAGTTATTTCAGAAAAAATATAAGGCAACGGAAAACTTAAATCAAAATTTTACACTTTTTAATGTTTAAAACCAGATAATGATAATCCGACAATTGTAAAATATCTGTGTAAACATTGGAAAATCTCCATTAAACTTCAGATGTAAATATTATGTTCAGACTTCATGAATAAGAAAATTATATAAATCGCATAAAAATTTAAAAGTTTGTTATGACAATATTCATAGAACTGCCATATACAGATAAAATCACTAGAAGAAATTGAACTTTTGTAAAAAATTACAATGTTTTTATCCCTTTATCTTTGCAACCTGGTGGTTTAAACTTTTTATAATTCAATTTCTGACTATTTGATCTCAGTTTCTAATGTTTACGACATAGGTTTCAAAGATATAGGGAATTGAAAATCAGAGTTTGTGGCCAGAACTAAGTGTCCTTGTAATCTTTATCACAAAACCTTAATCTTATACTTGACAGTTATGTTAAAATGCGTTTGAAAATCATTTCTTAAGAGAGGTATTGGCAAGGAAGTAAATTTAAGGTTTTTTTAATATAGTTGAATAGCCCTTAAATATACTGAACAGTTATCAAGAAGATCTCCATAGCAGGCCTGTAGCTAGAAAGTTAGAAAGAGGGTCGGCACAAAGTTCTAAAAAGTTTTTAGTGTATGTAGGACTAGGATGAGCGCGCCGCATGCGAAATTTGTTTGATCTTAATCCAATTACGATTGGGGGTGGGGGGTGTTTACAGTTTTGCTCTCTGATCAGTCCTGACTAGTCGCTTATAGAAATTCTCACTGTTTTCTCCTTTTCAATCTGAAAAAATTCATCCACACTTGATTTTTCCTCTGTCAAGAAAAAAACATATATGTTACTTAATTTTAAAATTCAGTGATGGTGATGGACCAAACCTCTGTTATTGAGTTAAACAAGTAGATGTTAGCACCACATTTATTCAATTATAATTATGGGTATTACAAAACATTGAGGGTACAGAAAACTGATGACCTAAGAAATCACATATTATGATAGAAGAATATCAAGATAAGATAAGGATTCTATCGGCCCTACATTGCAGGTTACACGAGAAGTAATGGGGTATCCCTCACTGGAAAACAATTGTGTAGAGGAACTACAGAAAGAATATATATGGATTATGAAAGATAGGATAGTCACAAAGTACAATTGCAGGAACTTTACTTACTGCAGACTACACAAGCCAACAAAAAAGGGACTAAATAGTGGACAAAAAGGACTACATAGTGGATGAATAACAAAAAATTACTGAAGACTATAATTGGGGACTTTATGTAGACTATAGTGAATATGATTAAGTCAGGGACTAACTGACGCTAAGAAATAGATAAAAAGATATACTATTAAATATGGGGAAAATAACACAGAAGAATAGAATTTGTCTTTCCGCTTCCCGAACTTCCCGCACACATTCAAAGAATTGACACATATCGTTTATTTTACAGCTTTTAGAAGTTAGAACTTTTTTTAACACAAGGGCAAGCCATAGAATATGAAAACAAATCAATTTGAAATTTTGCATCGAACACTGAGCCAAATCTGTGACCAAGTAACGTTACTATTTTTAAATCATAACTTTAGGGTAACATTACCTAACGTTATTAACAATTGTAATGTTACAGAATGTAAAAAAATTTTCTTTTAACTTTGATTATGCAAAATAAGATTATTTGTTTACGTAAAATAACGTTATTTTTAACGTTCAATAAAGTTATTTATTAAAGTTAAATAATGTTATTTCTGAATGTTAAATAATGTTATTTGTTAACATTAAATAACGTTATATTCTACTGTTAAATAACATTATTTCTAAGGTTAATTTGTTATACTAAAAATGTTGGTTATTAACATAAGTTTGCAATGATAGATAATATTGTTTTTTTGTAATGAATATCTTATTTTGTAACGTTAACTTATGTAATTTTTGTAACTTTAAATAACGACATTTTTGTAACGCTACCTACAGGTTTATTTTTTTGTAACAGAATGTCAAAGATTAACGTACATTACACTGAACTGGGAAACCTTAACTGCACAAAAATGCACTTTTAAGTGAATTAATTTTAAAATATTTAATAATTTTTCTAAAGAATTGATATGCAAAAAAATGTAATACAAACATTTTGGAAATACATGATTCAAAAATCATTTTGGAGTAAATTGATGTTTTTATGAGAATCAATGTCAGTAAATTCTCGATTTTTTGATAAATAGAAGTTCCACAAAGACAGTCTTGTAACAGGTATTATGGTAAGTGAATAAAGTATAACAGATATTGAATATGAAATTGCTGAAGATATAGACAACATGTATGAGCAATGGTTTAGAAGATTACAGATGAAGGAATGATGATGGGATAAATTTGTGTAGAAGAATACTGGATATCATGTAGTGATAACCAGAAAACTCTGTAAGAGGAAGACGACTTTTAGACTTAAATTATGACTTTAAACAGTCCAATGGACATGAGACACAGCCATTGTGCAGTGTAAACGAACCATTTCACTTAATTCGTAATTTAATAAGTGCATGTAGTGAGGGGGGGAGTCCAGAGTTCCTCGACGAATAATCACCGCCACCCAAATGTGTTTTGCGGCAAGCGCGCTCCTCAATTGGTAATCTCCGTAAAATTTTGTTTTCTGAGATTTTAATTTAATGTTGTTGTCGTATATAGCAGCAATTGATTCTCAATAATGAACAGATAAACAACTGATTTCCTGAAATAAATGATATAAATAATAACATATGAATTATTACAATGAATTTTTATAATGGAAAGATTCTTACGATCTAATAAGAGATATAATTGGAGGGTTAAATCGTCGGACAGTCCTAAGACGTTTTTTTAAACTTCTTAAAAGAATGACAATTATAATTATTAACGAAAGTCACTAATTCTTTATGTGAAAATATTCTTTGTTTAACTTTTGAAATGGATGGATTCACGATGCTTTAAGTTGTTTACACTCCGATGGGGAACAATTTGATCTGCTCTACTGCCCATCCGTCCTATTGCCCATCCGCTATACTGCACATCCGACCTGCTGGAACATCCAACCTATGACAGCCGTTTATTTTTGTAATTTGAGGGTTATGAATTTATAGGTTCAGAGAATTTCTGGGTCGAGCGCTGCGGCCATGAGACGGCAAGGAGGCGGAACTCCGCGGCTAGGACATGCTGGGGGAACGGGCGCTGCGGCCAGAAGTCCATCTAGCAGCTATTAAACCACGTGCTAGTTGGTCGGATGGGCAGTAGGACGGATGGGCGTAGGTCCAGAAATACACCATCCCCCATTAAAAATAATTAAATGGAGGACGACATTTAATATCTTAACAGCTGACTAGAACTGCAAAGTACAAACCAAATAATTTCTATGAATAGTATTAGTCTAATAGAGCATTCGGAAATAATGAATTATGAATAAAATGTCTCTCACAAGTCGCAGCAACATTTTTATTTGTATGAATATGTTTATTTTGAAATTATAGACTATATTATAGTGGTTGAAATCAAATCTGTTTTACAGTTTCTGCAATTTCTTAGGTAAATATCTCGACAAGCAAGTAATTCAGACATATTTAAAACATAAAATTGGTCCTTGATGGATTGCAATAATGATTGACAAATACATTAGGTCCGTCCTAAAGAACGATTTTGGACCCCATTTTTGTGTGAAATGTGCATTTTTTTTCTCGTGTTAAACAATGGACAAACTATCCGAATTTTTTTGGAGTCTAAAAAACAAGCTTCCACATTTTGTTTAGATTAATGATTCAAGTGTACCACTCTAAATCGGGCGTTTCCATCTTTACATGGAGAGTTGGTGAATTGCGCTTCGCCGCAATTACACTCCTTTAGGACGTTCAGTATTTTTAACTGGGGTTTGAACGATTTTTAGACCCCCCAGGCCCCCCCTCCTCCCTCCTATCAATTTTGTACATGACCAAATTAATCATTTAGCATTATTTAGGGTTAGGTTAGGTTAAGACACTTTCTGGACCGTACGCTGCGGCTAGAATTGGCTAGGGGGCGAGGGAGGGAGTCCAGAGTTCCTCAAATAGTAATCACCGCCACCCAAATCTGTTTTGCGGCAAGCGCGCTCCTCAATTGGTAATCTCCACCACCTCAAATAGTAATCAGCCCAAAAAAGCATAAAATTAAATCGTTTATTTCTTTGAAATAAGACCATATTGACCTCTTTTAATGGCCCTATGGTTTACAATATTGTTAAAGCTTTCTTTATTGACTTCAAAAATCGTTCTCTAGGAATATACCCACTCCTTTTAGGACGTTCAGTATTTTTAACTGAAACAATTAATCTTAGACTCGCTACTAAAATTTGACTTTTTAATGTACTAATATTATTTCAGAATCTAGCAAATATTTAGAATGGCCGGATTGTCTGGACCCAGTCTAGCGGATGTGCTGGATGGGAAGGCGGAAGCCCACATCACTCAAAAAGATCAAGAACAAAAGGTTACATGTAAATAAGAAATATAAATGTTTATAGGTTTTAGAATTCGAATGGATTTAATTAAATTCGAGTTAAAGGGAATTATTTTGCGTAATTTCAAGTCAACCTCAACGCAAAGATGTTAATGTTTTATCTTTAACTTCGATGTACTAAATATTGGTTTATATTGGCTTTAATTTTATCTGAATTATAATGTGATATAAAATCCACCTTTATTAAATAAAATCAGTAATTTTCTTATTTACTCCGCCAGGATTTCTGAAAATAATCAAAACATAAACTCAATCCGAAACACAGTAGACCGGGCACTATCTTTCTCGGACGCTTTTTAATATGACACCGGTAACTTTTTTTGAAGGTTTTAATCAATTGTTATGGATTCATGCAGGGTGTCGAGCCGATGGTGGATGGAATACCGATATCCAAGGCCTTCAGACACAGAGAGAAGATGCTGCTTCAGGCTGTGGTAGAAAAATATGGAAAGGTATTCATATTTTACATTGCTTAAGGTTTTAAGTACAAACAGACGAAAGTCCATTTGAAAACTAAGGTTCTGCAGTGCTTAGGATCCATTTAATTTTGATGCGGATCCGGATCCTGGATCCGCACTGGAAAAAATGGATCCGGATCCAAATCCGGATCCGGATCCAAGTCATTTTTGATTTACTAAATTTCTTTAACAAAAAAATAATTTTCAAATTTTTAATTTATTTTTTCGCTTTTTTTATCCTTAAACTTGTTGAACCATTCAGAAATGAGGAAATTCTTATAATCTCTCTTTAAAAAAAAAAAAATCCGCTTTGGGTTTTTTGAGTATAATCTCTTTTTTTGCAGTTTTTGGTGATATTTTACCCCTTGGATCCGGGTCCGTGGATCCGCATATTTTTGCGGACCCGGATACAGGAAGCCAAAATCTTCCGGATATAAATACTTATAATTAAAAATGTTTTCCTTAGAGGATTTCACTAACTTTGCTAAAACATAATGCAATGTTTTTTCCATTAGTTCTGAAAAAATTCAAAGACATTTTTTAGGTATTAAAAAAGAACAAAAAAGAAAATTGAGGATGTAATACTAAATGGGACTGTTCACCGTTTTTATAATATTCACAATACCCTTTATTCTGCAACTAGGAACACAAGTCTAGTAGTTTTCAATTTATCACTAGAATATTTTGTTATGACAAGAAATATCAATAATATCTTGTTATTTCCCCAAAACCACTGGTCTATCTTTGAATTTGCAAAAGTGATAACAACACATATTATATTCTTGATTATTTTAGGATCTTGGACCTAACGTATCTGCTGCTAGCTTGGTAAAAGAGTTCCTAGGGGAAGGTCCGGAGGATAAAATAGGGAAAAATGTTGGAGACTTTGACGCGAGAGGAGCTCTAGATATAGATATAACTACTGATGTAGAGGTATACTCCAGTTATTAAGGTGTCAAGTCTTTCCCTGGGAAATTTAAAAAGATGAAAATTTCCCGTGTGCTAATTCAAGGACTACAGTATGGTTTTGGTAATTATATTGACGTGCTAAGCCTAGGGGGTTCAGAATTAATTTTTTAAATATATTTTTTAATCTGTTCTAAAAATCTAGTAAAGTTTAATTTTTAATAAACATTTTTTCTGGATGATTGCAAGTTATTTATAAAACTCTCTTAACCGGCATATTTTTTCCAATTTCATTTAGAGAAGAAAAGGTATTGATAAATGTTGCTTTATATTGAGTAGATTCACTTACATATGCCAACGTAAAAACTATTTGATAGCAGGGAAGATTCTGCATTTTATATTTGCCAAATCGAACTGAATTTTTAGTTTAAACAAATCTGTTTAGTATTTATATAGAAGCACTTCTAGGTATCATTTTGATTTAATTTTCAAGTATCATACAGGGAAATTTTCATCTTTCTAAATATCCCAGGGAAAGACTTATCGCCTTCTATAGCGCGGAAAGAATTTATATTATTTTTTTGTAAGGAATGATTTAAAAGACTCAATAGAACGCCCGAAAAAATCTGCATCTATAATAAAAATTCTGCATCTAAAATAAAAACCCTGAAAAAATACGTTTACTTTAAATATTATATTTACATGAAAGATTTATTTTGTATTTTATTTGTCCCTAATTTTTTTTCAGGACGGATAAATTAAGTATTGATATACAATGCTTCCATGGCTTCCATAATGGATTTCTAACTTTTTAACGATTTAAAAAAAACCTCGCTAGTCTCCAGGAGTTTGTAACAACTCATGTAATCATAAAGATAAATGGTGCTTTCTTTAATCCATAAGGGACAAGAAAAATTGGGTAAAAAGTATCGAAAAGGATGAAAATAAATTTTGCCTTTTGATGTCTAATTTTTTATTTGTTCCCCCAGATATACAAAATCATTCCAACCCTTCACCTCCAGAAGAGGGGGGGGGGGATTAATTCTGAAAAATATACGCCCGGTCTGTTGTCCCTAGATGAATGCTGAATGTGAGGAGGATGGCGCATCGGGTAACTCTGAACTAGCAGAGTTCTCTGAGAGAGTTAAATATATTCCTCTTCGTCTCACCTTGTCAGAACGGAAACTGCTCAGGTACAAACAGTCATCCCGTTGTAGGACGATTTAAAGAGAGTGGTAAATTTTCTTCGGGCATCATTTCTCTCTCCCCCTTAACCCCATCTTTGAAAATCATTTTTTCATAGCGCTGATTTAAGGATTCATATCTCTAATTGAATAATGAGCTAGATAGATAGATAGATGCTACCGCCATACTGTTTCTGATGTTTCAGAATAGACACCAAACACATGTCTGAACCCTGATTCGATCAGGCGCTAATGGACTCGGCATACAGGAGTGCATCGTGAAAGAACAAGGAAATGGTGCCCCCCCCTCCCCATTACTTCCAGATATTAGCGCCTCTGCTACCGAACAATTTCGAATGGATATTTATATTTAATCATAATTTCTGTAAACAATGATTATATAGATTATTAATTTTAAAAGATTTTTTATTTTAAGTAGAAGAGTATTTTAAGAAGGAACTCTTCAAATTCTATATGATAAAAAAGAAAAATGATGACTAAACTGTTATTCAAATAAAAGTTTTTATTTAGAATTCTGTGTCAGCTCCGTAAATGCTGTATCAGAATATATATTCAGTATTCATGGTTTAATATTTTTAATATTATCATATTGTTTATATAAGGGGGGGGGGGGGGTAGGAGAGAGAACTAAGTCGACGAAAGAAATTTCAGATTTTTTATTTTTTTGGCATTAATTGGCCAAATTCTTGGTTTTATGGTTTTATTGCGATAAAATGTTAATTATGTGCAAGGTTTTTTAGTTTATATATTTGTATCCTGGATTGAGTGAGGCTACCCTAGATATCTATATAATAAAGCTCTTCGTTCATATTTATGTCAGCTATAATAGCTGACCAAACGGCCTGACCAAAGAGAATATATTAATAACCGAAGGGGCTGAAATTTTTGAGGGAACTCTTGAGTACCCCGGGGGTAAAATTAGCTAAAAAAAATGTTGTTCGAAAATTCGAAATTTTTCTAGAAAAATTCAACATTTTGTTTGAATTTCGATTTATAAAATTTTAGAGGCAATCCCGGGCACTTCCGCGTGTTAGTTAACATAATTGTATCCTAGGTTGAGTGAAGCTGCCCTAGATATTAGTTGATATATTTGTATTCTGGATTGAGTGAGGCTTCCCTAGATATTAGTTGATATAATTGTATCCTAGGTTAGTGAGGCTTTCCTAGATATTAGTTGATATATTTGTATTCTGGATTGAGTGAGGCTTCCCTAGATATTAGTTGATATATTTGTATTCTGGATTGAGTGAGGCTTCCCTAGATATTAGTTGATATATTTGTATCCTAGGTTGAGTGAGGCTTCCCTAGATATTAGTTGATATAATTGTATCCTAGGTTGAGTGAGGCTTCCCTAGATATTAGTTGATATAATTGTATCCTAGGTTGAGTGAGGCTACCCTAGATATTAGTTGATATATTTGTATCCTAGGTTGACTGAAGCTGCCCTAGATATTAGTTGATATATTTGTATCCTAGGTTGAGTGAGGCTTCCCTAGATATTAGTTGATATATTTGTATCCTAGGTTGAGTGAAGCTGCCCTAGATATTAGTTGATATATTTGTATCCTAGGTTGAGTGAGGCTTCCCTAGATATTAGTTGATATATTTGTATCCTAGGTTGAGTGAGGCTTCCCTAGATATTAGTTGATATATTTGTATCCTAGGTTGAGTGAGGCTTCCCTAGATATTAGTTGATATATTTGTATTCTGGATTGAGTGAGGCTACCTTAAATATGAGTTAATATATTTGTATTCTGGATTGATATTTATATTTTAGTAAACATATTTGTATCCTAGGTTGAGGGAGGCTACCCTGAATGTGAGTTAATTTAGTTGTATCCTAGGTTGAGTGAGGTTACCCTGAATGTGAGTTAATTTAGTTGTATCCTAGGTTGAGTGAGGCTACCCTGAATGTGAGTAAATATATTTGTATCCTAGGTTGAGTGAGGCTACCCTGAATGTGAGTGAACATATTTGTATCCTAGGTTGAGTGAGGCTACCCTGAATGTGAGCGAGTATACGGATAAGGTGGATATCCTCTCCTGGAAATCAAAGACTGGGCGGATACATGAACAGCTCAGGGATATTTGCGCCATTCTCTCAGGTTAACTCGGCTTTGGGTCTGTAGACGTTATTTTAAGGGACGACGACATGTCCTATTCACAAAGCGACACTTTAAAATTTATCTGAGCAACATCATGATGTAATATCCTATTTTTTTCTGGCAAAACTGGATCATTATAAATTGGGGTTTCGGTTTACAAGTGACTAGCGGACTTCAGCAGCAGAAAATTAAAAAACGTAATTTACAGAATTAAACACTTCTTATATGGAAAGACGACAGTATCTTCTCCTTTATTGCTCAGATTTAAGATTTGAATTGAGAATCCAACACTTAAAATAAAGGGTTACTTAAAAATAACGCATAGAATCCCTGAGTTTTCCCACCCTGCATATTTTTGATTAGAAGTCGGATCATGCATTGATTTAAATCTTACGCAGAAAAATGTTATTCCTCTTCGACATCCCATGTGCCGTGAATGTCATTTCCTGCAAGAATAACGAATAACGATACTTCACACAAAACAAACTACCTCAGAAACTTCAGGCTTAAAGATTTACAAAATTTTCCAGGATTAGCGGTTGCAGCCGATTATGAGACAGGACAGAAAATGATAAAAGACAGAAGTTTTGAGGTAATTAAATAATTTGTTCTAAAAATAAAAAATGTCGCATTTTTATGAAAATATTTTGAGTTATTGTACGCATTACAAATTATACCTGTATATGTAAAATATTTAAATATTTTTTATTAATGTAAGTTGTAAATATTTTAGTTTTAAATTGATGTAAGATACAAATATTCTTTATTAAAGTAAGTTGTAAATATTTTAGTTTTATATTGATGTAAGATACAAATATGTTTTATTAGTATAAGTTGTAAATATTTTAGTTTTATATTGATGTAAGATACAAATATTCTTTATTAAAGTAAGTTGTAAATATTTTAGTTTTATATTGATGTAAGATACAAATATTCTTTATTCAAGTAAGTTGTTAATATTTTAGTTTTATATTGATGTAAGATACAAATATTCTTTATTAAAGTAAGTTATGAATATTTTAGTTTTATATTGATGTAAGATACAAATATGTTTTATTAATGTAAGTTGTAAATATTTTAGTTTTATATTGTTGTAAGATACAAATATTTTTTATAAATGTAAGTTGTAAATATTTTAGTTTTATATTGATAAAAGATACAAATATGTTCTATTAATGTAAGTTGTAAATATTTTAGTTTTATATTGATGTAAGATACAAATATGTTTTATTAATGTAAGTTGTAAATATTTTAGTTTTATATTGATGTAAGATACAAATATTCTTTATTAATGTAAGTTGTATATGTTGCATAGATTCAAGATACAAATATTTTACATAGATTTCAGATCACATTTTTTTTCAATTAATGTAAGATTCAAATATTTTACATTGACGTAAGTTGTACAATTTTACATAAATTCACGATTCAAGATGCAAAAGGCAAATTTTTAGTTAAATAATGTAAAATACAAATACATTGGTTGTACAGGAAAATGCTGAATATTTCTCTACAGTATTTGAGATTGGTCGGAGACACAAAATCCTTAATCCGGAGTGTATGAGAACAGGTGAGAGAGTTTATTCATTAGTATTGTTAAACTTGGCACATGGCCCACAGAACTGCCAATTTGGGTTTCCATTCCCAACAAGGGTCAGATTTGGGGAAATCCTTAAACTATTTTGGGTATCTGGATTTGCATGGAGTAATTGTTGACCATTTAATTAATTAATTTATTTATTTGGATAATGCGTTTGTATTTAATCATTCATTTGGATAATGCGTGTATTTTTCCATTCATTTGTAGTCATACTGCAGGATTAAAAAATTCATTCATATATACTTATCTTGGGGTGCCAAGTGGGGTGTTTTCATTCATTTCTCTCAATTATTATTATCAATATCGAGTGAAAAGAGACATAAGCATATTACAACGAAAGAAAAATTTGTCATCAAAATTCAAATGTTTTCATCAGGGGGCGGAAACGTGTGTGTGTCTGTACCAAAAGAGTGTTTGTAAAGTTTACCGAACCGAAGGCGTGTACTGTAGGTATAAACAGTACATGTACGAATCTCGGTATTTGCAGGAGAGTACATTTGTTTATTGTTAATTATTTACTTAAAAATAAGTTTAATATACATGTACTATATTATTTATATTTTTAAATCAACACATGCCAAATTGTCATGCAAAGAATATAATTTGATTAAAGTTTACAAAAAACTGGTCGTTATTCAAGCTTAATTATAATTAACAACATTGTTCTGCAATTTCCTTGACTGTAGTCATGTTGTGTGTCTGTACTTAAAGAGTGTGCGTTAGGTTTACCGAAATTGTCTGCAAAGCAGTGAGACTGGCTTTCTCATGCCAGACCAGCGCCATTTCTTCCTATTCCCTGGTTTTCAACCTTATCGATTCTTTTTATCCAAAAATATATTTATTTTATCATAAAAAAACATTTACTTTACCCAATTCAACAAATAAGGAGGGGGTGGGGGAAATAGATTTTTCTAGAAAATTTATATTCCTCCAATGTTTCACAAGAATCTGATTTTTGTTGACTAATTGATACATTAATCAGTAGATTGATTCAAGAACTTCTTGTTTAAGTGATAATTGATTAACTGATCGATTGATTAGTTGATTATGGACGTGTGTGTGGGTGGGTAGGCTGTGTGGGGGGATGGCTGGGTGGGTTGAGTGAGTGAGGTTCAAATATTGAATGATTAATTGATTGTGTTTGTTAAGACTATGGGAAGCTGGTTCATATGTTGATGGACAGTCAGAATCCTGATATACAGAGACTTCTAGGGACATAAATACAAAATCATTGCTTAAATTGGATTTTATATCAAGTTGGGTTTCCAAATTTCGGATCAATTAAGTTCAGTAAAGATTGGTTTTGTTCAAACTAACTATTTGTTTATCGGTATTTCTTCATCAAATTTTTAAAAAAGATAATGTTGGACAACATTTTTCTTACAATTACAAAGAAACTATGAATTTTTTTCTTACTTTCAAACTAAATCAAATATTTGTATTTGTAACTTAGTTTGAATTCTAAATGATCCTTACTTAAATGATTTAGATTTCTGCTTTCAAATTTGTTTAAGGTCTTAAAAGAAACATTTGTAATTGTTTTTGTTAGAGTTTAAGTTTGTAAAGAAGGTTCTGACTGTGAATGATTTTCTCCGAGAACGAGACTGTTTAAACCTTCTCAAACATCCAGATATAATCACAGCAACAACAGCTATAATAGACAGGTAGATATATAATCACAGTAACAACAGCTATTATAGACCGGTAAATATATAATCACAGCAACAACAGCTATAATAGACAGGTAGATATATGATCACAGTAACAACATCTATAATAGACCGGTAAATATATAATCACAGCAACAACAGCTATAATAGACAGGTAGATATATAATCACAGCAACAACAGCTTTAGTAGACAGGTAGATATATAATCACAGCAACAACAGCTATAGTAGACAGGTAGATATATAATCACAGCAACAACAGCTATAAAAGACAGGTAGATATATAATCACAGCAACAACAGCTATAATAGACAGGTAGATATATAATCACAGCAACAACAGCTATAGTAGACAGGTAGATATATAATCACAGCAACAACAGCTATAGTAGACAGGTAGATATATAATCACAGCAACAACAGCTATAATAGACAGGTAGATATACAATCACAGCAACAACAGCTATAGTAGACAGGTAGATATATAATCACAGTAACAACAGCTATTGATTGATGAATTGATTGATGAATTGATTGATTGATTATTAAATGATTGATTGATTGATTTACGTTTAGAGGTCGAACCAGATCTGAGGTCCAGCACGCTATCCGACTAAAAGAAGCAGCAGTGAAACGATTAATCAACAAGTTCTCTAGTGATACAATGTCAGAAGATGAGATCGAGTGGTGTCTTTACTCAATAGGTATCTCTTCAAACTAAATTTTTTTTAATATGTTGTAAAGGGATTTAATCGCTGGATTTGGAATCGAATGTTTTTACGATGTTAAGTATTTTCCCAATATTTTTTTCCCAAGTGTCAACTTCCTAAGTGTATTTTCCCAAGTGTCAACTTCCTAATAGTATTTTCCCAAGTGTCAACTTCCTAAGGGTATTTTCCCAAGTGGCAACTTCCTAAGGGTATTTTCCCAAGTGGCAACTTCCCGTCTGTGCTATTTCCCAAGCGGCAACTTCTCAAGTCTATCTTAACCGCAGTGATTGGCCCCCCTAGCCCACCCGTGTCGTTCCCCATTACAACCTGCTGCGCCTTGGAAAAGGTCTAACCCAACCTTTGGGAAGTTGCCGCTGTGGAAATTACACATTTGGGAAATTGCCACTTCGGAATGGTCACTCGGGAAGTCGCCTTTGGGAAAATGCTTAACACCGTTTTTTTTGGGAAATTTTCCATTTAATTTCTCTAAACCTACAAAATGCTCCCGGAGGAAGGGGGTGAATTCTCGAAAATTTAAGCTGGGGGAGCTTCTATTCCAATTCAAAATTTTCAGTTTTCACTTTTTATTCTAGATCTTTAAAGTGTTGTCAGTGTATTTTTAACGACTAATCCTCCATATAGAGTACAATCAACGATTTATTTTTTCGAGAAAGAAAACCGACAAGTTTGTTTGTTTGTCAGAATTTGATAATGCTAGGAGAAAAAAATGTAATAATGGAAATTCTTAAACGAGATGAAATAATCTTGATGTATTCTTTAACGATGGCCGCATTTTGATCCGTTAGCGGCCTGGGTTCAAAAAGTGTGGGGGGCTTAAACATATATTTCTTATTTTTTTAGTCCACTTACCTTTGCAGTCTAATTTTATGGTTTATTTTTTTAATTTAATTTTTTCCCTAACTAGTTTTTATATTTACTTCTTTAGGTGACAATGCATCCTTCCTGTTATTCAACAGAGATCCAGTTGATCATATGATCGAGTATCTTACTGTTAACTTCCCTGAAAACCTTCCAAATGATTGTCGGAGATCTCTTGCGATCCGGGCAGGATCTAAAGGTAGTTGATAAAACATTGTTAATTTTTATTTTTAACTTATTATTATTTTTGATCTTCATCCTTATTTTGATCTTCGTTCTTGTTTTATCTAAATTATTATCTTGATCTTCTTCTTGTCTTGATCTTCATCTTTATCTTGATCTTCATACTTGTCTTGATCTTCATCTTTGTCTTGATCTTCATCTCTATCTTGATCATCATCCTTGTTTTAATCTTCATCTTTATCTTGATTTTCATCCTTGCCTTGATCTTGATCCTTTTCTTGATCTTGATCCTTGTCTTGATCTTCATTCTTTTCTTGATCTAACTTCATCCTTATCTTGATCTTCATTCTTATCTAAATCTTCATAATCTTAACCTTCATCCATGTCTTGATCTACATCTTTATCTTGATCTTCATCCTTATCTTGATCTCCATCCTTATCTTGATCTTCATCCTTATCTCGATCTTCATCTTTATCTTGATTTCCATCCTTATCTTGATCTTGATCTTTTTCCTTGTCTTGATCTCCATCCATATATTGATCTCCATCCTTATCTTGATCTGCATCCTTGTCTTGATCTCAATCCTTTTCTTTATCTTCATCCTTTTCTTGATCCTCATCCTTGTCTTGATCTTCATCTTGACTTGATCTTACTTGTTTTGATCTTCATCTTTAACTTAATCTTCATTTTTATGTTTGTCCAGATCTCCATTTTTATTTGATCTTAATCCGTATCTTGATCTTAATTATCCTCATCTTCGACTTTATTTAATTCGAACCATCTTGATCCTGATTTGATTATTAATTCTTATTATTTAATTTTGATTTTTATCTTGATTTTAATGTTTAGGTGCTCGATTGTCTCATGGTCATAGTCAGCAGTTTCAGTATGCTCTACAGTCTTTAACTTTGTGGAGAGAAATACAAACTGATATGTTTAAACTCTGGTGTCTTGCTGAAGAGGTACTCGTTGGTTGAGTTGGTTGGTTGGTTGGTTGGTTGGTTGGTTGGTTGGTTGGTTGGTTGGTTGGTTGGTTGGTTGGTTGATTAAATGATTGGTTGATAGGTTAAATAATTGGTTGATTGGTTAAATGATTGGTTGATGGATTGATGGATTGATTGATATTCTCTAGGATCTGCTAGACCCTGGAAACTACTACAGTCTACGGGATACCGGACAAGGATTAAACAGGGTACAGTCTGCGCCTAGGATTGGCAGGGCTATGCATGAAATTCTGCATAGGTAACTGTTCTAAAAAATAATTTTTTTCTGAAAAATATTTATTTTACATTATAAAATTTGCGGAATTAAAAATTTGCATTGATCTATCAAAATAGGTTGATTGATTCATTCATTGATTGATTGATTGATTTATTGATTGATTTATTGATTGATTCATTGATTGATTCATTCATTGATTCATTGATTAGGTCCCAGCGTAAGGTTGGAAGCTGGATTGGATCTAGTGTTGTTCATCTTGGTGATCATAATGTTCCTAATGCGCTCACATTCATTGATAAATACACTCAGGTTAGCTTAGTGGTAGTGATATAATGTACTAGTTAAAGATCTCACGATCCGGATCGATTCGAGCTTTGAAACTGGTGATATCTCTCAGAATTTAACCTCGTATTCTTAATATATTTTTTTGAAAAATCATTTCCCCCCCCTTCCATTTTTGAAAATCTTTTTCTCCATAGTTAAAGGGAGTGTTCGCGAAAAATGAAAGGGGGTATAGGCTTAATGCGATAATGCTTAATGCTTAATGCTTAAGCGCTTTTGATCGCTACTAATCTTACTTCTAGCTGTTGCGTCTATAAGGAGAAAATTGTTAAAAACGACTCATACCGAAGAACGTAGTGTCCATACAAATTCAGAAAGATGCAACATACGACTTAGACCGTAAAAAATCTATTCAATTTCAAACAAATCATTCAGATATTACAACCTACAGTCATCGATTATCTTTCGCCACATTTGTATATAGTCGATTTTTCATAATATGTTTTGATTTTATTTTTTAAAATAATATTTAGCTTCCAACTTGTTTTCGAACATTCCTGGAAAATATGAAAATGTCGTCTTCAGTACCAAAAATCCTCGAAACAGGAATAAATATTTTATAAGTAACTCTCAGATCATAACAATTAAAACATATTTATGAAAAATCAACTTTGTTTTTGTTTTCTTTGTTAGTTCGGTATTTGTGATACCCTCCCTAGAAATTGTGATAGAGAAGGTTTTAAACAAAGATTTTTCCGAAAGAAAAGATAACGCATCAAAATATTTTACTAATATTGTCAACGTTATTGTTCACAGTATAGATTGTATGTTTTAAGCACCAACGTTTGTCTTAAAGAAAAAATGTGCTGACAACGGATGGAAATTGATGATAATATGTACTTTTTACTAGGAAATTTGTCAAGTTGTTAATTACAGCCTTTTTTTATGAAAAATATTTTGAGACAAATCTTTAAAATGTATGTTTAAGATGTCATCAATTTTATAAACTAGTAAAGAAATTTCAAAAAGGAAAGTTATTATACCCATGTCCGGAGAAACACCATCTCTTTTTCCAGAGTTTTATAATTTTAATAAATTTCTGATTTACAAAATATTTCATAAACATATTGTTTTTATCTAAATAATTTCTGTTGCAGGTTCCCCGAATTCTTAATCCTATTGTCAACGTTATAGAATCGATCCCAAGATTAGGTAAACATTAAATATTTTAATTTATTTGTTCTTTTCAGTTTTATTTTTTGTGTGTGATTAAAAAAGGTTTAAATTAGAAGAGCTAAAATTATTTGGACATAGCATAGAAAAGTTGAAGTGAATTTATGTAAAATATTGATTAATTGATTTATTGATTATTGATTTAATGATTGATTTAATGATTTAATGATATATTGATTCAATGATTTAATGATTTAATGATTTAATGATTTAATGATAGTTTGTATGGTTGGTTGGTTGATTGATTGATTGATTGATTGATTGATTGATTGATTGATTGATTGATGAAGAATTGATTGACTAATTGATGGATTGATTGATGGACTGATTTATGTAAGGATAGATTGGTTGATGGATTAATGGATTGATTGATGAATTGATTGATGAATTGATTGATGGATTGATGGATTGATGGATTGATTGATGGATTAATTGATGGATTGATGGATTGGTTGATGGATTTGTCGGCAAATTGATTGATTGATTAATTGATTAATGTGTAATTTTTGCAGCTGATGAGAATAGCGACGTATCTGAAATGATAGAGAAAGTTTACGGTTCAGTAAAAGACTGCCAACTGGATATTCTCCAGGTACAGTAGACAATAGACATTTTACCAGGCCTTACCTGAACATGACCTTGTATCATTTAGATAGGAAGGTACTCACGGGCGCGGCGTGATGTCTAACTCCATTCGTGGTTTTATGGTTGCCATTAAAATATATGAAAACCATCCCCCTGCTAATAATACTTTTGGTCCCATTGAAGTAATACTTGTTAAGGGTATCATTCCTTTTAAAGCAGGAAAAAGAAAAGATTTTCAGTTGCAAATAAACTTTTTGGGATAAAGTATTATATGGGACTATGGATCCATTCAATTTTGATCCGGATCCTGGACCCGTCCTGAAAAATATTGGGTCCTGATCTAGTGAACATTTCTTTAAGATTTACTGATTTTTTGGACACTTAAAGAAATTATAAATAATTTTTCTTATTTTGTTTCGCTGATTTTTTGTTTTTCAATGTAAATATTTTTTTAAGGATTTCTATAAGCATGCCTTTGATGGATCTGGTGCAGACAATTTCTACGATGCAGGTAAATTTACGGGGCTTTTTCGCTGAATTTTGTGTGTGGAGAAATGTACGGTTTTGGGGAAAAGTGTCTAAATATATACTTTCCCTTGTTTTCTTCTTACAGGGGTAAAGAATTTTTTTAAAATTTACTTTTCTCCAAGGTATTAGAGATGTATGCGAACTAAAAATTGTTTCACTCGACAAATTGGGGAACTCAATGATTTTTAAGGGGGGGATATGTTTGGTTTAAAAAACTAAAATGTCGAATTTCTTTTATGTCCAGAGAAGCGAAAACTTGATTTACAATTTACATTTACATTTACATTTACATTTACATTTACATTTACATTTACATTTACATTTACATTTACATTTACATTTACACTTACATAACATGAATTAAATATTTTTCACAGGGAAATAAGCTTGTGTCTTAACATAAAGGATTTACAATTTACATTCACATTTACACTTAAAAAAAATAAATATTTTACACATGGATATACCTTTACATTTACATTTACATTTACATTTACATTTACATTTACATTTACATTTACATTTACATTTACATTTACATTTACATTTACATTTACATTTACACTTACATAACATGAATTAAATATTTTTCACAGGGAAATAAGCTTGTGTCTTAACATAAAGGATTTACAATTTACATTCACATTTACACTTAAAAAAAATAAATATTTTACACATGGATATACCTTTACACAGAGGATTTACAATTTGCATTTAAATTTAAGTTATATCAAGTTAATAAGATACACAGCAGGGATGATAATGTATGTCATTTACACAGAGAATTTACCATTTACATGTGAATTTACGATTTCTATACAAAATACACACATGCCTCACACTAGTCCTCCAAGGGATTGTTGAGTAAATAAATGTATATGTTATATAACCAGTTGATGGTTTCGTTTGTTTATTATTATTGTATTGTGACATACAAATTACTACATTTAAAACAACATTTCGTCGATTTTTTATCTTTCCTTTGTTTTAAATTTTTTGTAATTAATTAATTATTTTTAAATGTGTATTGTAATTTGTGTAGGGCCTATCAATTAATACAGCCTTATCGGCTGTGTATTGTAATTTGTGTAGGGCTAATGACAAATGAAATGTACTTATGTCTATATTAATTTTTTTAAATTTATCATTCGAAATATTTAAATTAATTAGTTTATTACTTCTAGGGTCCTGTATTGACGGTAGACTTACTAGCGCCTGGAATTGGTGTAACAAATTGGACAAAAAGGTCAGCAAAAATCATTATACTTAAATTTTTCAAGAGCGTTAAGAACAAATCTCCACCATTTTCTTGTTTTGTTTTCGCTAATTTTCATGCCAGAATTTGATTTACTACAGTTTAGACCACATTTTCGTAGACATCGAAAGAAAATTTATAAAATTACGTTTTCTGAACTTTCTGATAATGGAATGCTTGCAGATATTTAGTTTTTCATTTAGTTATTTATCTGGAGCTCTTTTAAACCTTTCCCGTACATTTCATACCGATTTCTTTAGTTTTACAATTACTGAAATTTAGGTATAATTGTAAAAATATAAAACCCAATGATAATTGCCAAGAAGACATTTTTAAATGTTTTGATGACCAACCGCATTTTGTAAATCCTTCTTTTCTTTTTTTGACCGCCTGTATTAAAATTCAAAAGATTATTTGATTTATGTTTCAGAGCTACTACCCCATCTTCCGTCTGGCCGGCTTTACAGGGTTCGATGGTTCTTTCAAGAATTAAACCAAAATCAGAAATACTCCTCCAGACAACTTCTGGCATGTTTTTCAGCTGAACAGACCTAATTTTGGCATCCATCCCTCTGAACAGACCTAATTCTGGCATCCATCCCTCTGAACAGACCTAATTCTGGCATTCATCCCTCTGAACAGACCTAATTCTGGCATCCATCCCTCTGACTCATCACATTATTTAACTTGTTATAAACAATAACGCCAAATATTTGCTCATGAAATAGCAAAATATAAAAGTATAAACTCAACACCCACTCGAATAATACCATCGATAATTTATTATAATGAATTAATATTTGTTTTAATTAATTAAAGTCTTATTTAAATAAATTATTTTTTTGCTCAGTGATGTTTTTGCTATGTAAAGAATTTTTGTGACATCATTTTTAGTGAGACTCTATTTAGAGTGCGATAAGACCGATTTAGTACCCTATTGACCTTTTTATTTGAGCAAAAATAAAGAAAAATACGTTAAGACTGTTTATTAGTTCGTAAGTTTTAACCCCTAACGGATTCACTAGTTTTGAAAAACAATAAGATCTCTCTGTTTAAACATATCGGATCACACTTGAATTCATCTAAACCGTGGCCTGTACACAACAAAGCTAATCTGTTACTTACGTACCGACCATTAAATACGTTAAAAGCGGTCTTCAAACATTCAAAAGTATATTTTTATTTTCTCACACTCAACGATAATTTCCTAGAGAACGATTTTTGGACCCCCTCCCCCTGGCTACCCCCCTCCTATCTATTTTGTACATGACCAAATTAGTATTTATTTAGCATTATTTAGGGTTATGTTAGGTTAAGAAATTGTCTGGGCCGAACGCTGCAGCTAGGACAGGCACTTTCTGTAAGATCCATGTACAAAATTGATAGGATGGGGGGGGGGGAGGGGGTCCAAAAATCGTTCTCTAGGACGGACCCGAATATATAACAGTTGAAACGTAGCATTTAGCAATTAAAAGAGTTTCAGTAGATTGAAAATACACCTACAGTCCCTTTAAGATAAAATAAGAATGGATCCATTTTGTTTCGTATTTCGAGCTTTGTCTGAAGTAAGAATAAAAGTGGCGCGAAGCTGCACTGGTTTCTAATATATCTTTATCTAAGTATACTTTCTGGGTCTCCAGTATCCTCGTCTTGCAGGGTACATATCTCTAATGTGTCTCCAGGGATGTATGAATTTAAAGTTTTAAATTATTCTTAAATTATTCCCTAAACCAGAATACAACCTGTCGGTATTCAGTAATTATATAATGCAAAATATAAACGGTATCATGTCTGGTTCTGGCTCAAAGAATGCCTAAAATGGACCTGAATTATGACAAAAGTCTGTACTTTCTACCCAATTAGCGTACATATCCTCTGACATTTGTTCAGTAGACTCCTAAGCAGTTTGCATCTATATTGTGCATGGACCAGCTATAAACTCCTTAAAACATTGTTAAAAATAAAGAATCTTTGTTATATAAAATAAGTTGCGGTCAATTTTATTCGAATGGGACTTTAATAAAACTAAATAACTTTGAAAAGAAAATTAGCCTAGGATTTTATTGATGTCAATCCGGATTCCTTTCCGGATCTGGTCTTTGGATCAGTATCCTGGATTCTTGATCCGGATATAGCCAGGTCTCCAGATCTACAATAAATTAAAATATGCTTTAGTTTGTTTTCCTTTCTCGTTTATTCTAAGGTTTCTACATCCCTTTCGTAATCAAGGATTTTATTTGAAAAAGGGTTGATTTGTCAACTGAACTGGTTTTCATTTCGTTTGTTTAAACATACAAATTGATGCAAAAATAGGAGGAAAACTCCCTTTCACAGCTTGACTTTTTGAACACATTGTTTATATATAAGGTCCAGATATATACCATGTATATTGGGACACCATGTATATATAGTTTGTGTATGTTCTGAAAGGTCCAGATATATACCATGTATATTGGGACACCATGTATATATAGTTTGTGTATGTTCTGAAAGGTCCAGATATATATATATACTCATGTATATTGGGACACCATGTATATATAGTTTGTGTATGTTCTGCAAGGTCCAGATATATACCATGTATATTGGGACACCGTGTATATATAGTTTGTGTATGTTCTGAAAGGTCCACTGCGGAAAATTATGATAATACTATCTGAAAACTAACAGGGTGGGAGATGAAGAAGATGTGGATTGTGAACCGACCTAGAATGTATCTAAACTATTTACTAAGTAGTTTTTATGGATTTTATTCGACTCCCCCTTATACGTAGAACTCCCATCCAAATCATTCGACTCCCCCTTATACATAGAACTCCCATCCAAATCCCCCATCTTCAAAATAAAGTAAATTGAGGCCGAATTTAAAGAATTTGATCTGCTCAATTAAAACCGGTTTTTAAAGGAATTTGAGACGCGGCGTATAATCATTAAATTCGGACACTGTACGTACGATTTAATTCTTGTATGTTCTCAATTATAATTCCTTTTATTGAAGAGCTATTGAAAAGAATACAAACATTTTGAATTTCTAGTTTGTAACCGGATATATTTTCTACCGTCATACTTGTGCATAAAATTGAAACTAGAAGATCTATGAGGTCTCTGACTCCTGAGTTGAACCAGTAATATTGTATACATTTTACCTTCTCATTCTGTCCATGGTCCATTGTGGCCCTAAACGGATAGCTTAACCTAACCTGACATATTTCAAGACATAATATACCAATTGTCGTTGTCAGAAAATCATTAGGTCCGTTTCCTTTAGGTCGGATGAGCTGATATCGAAATGAGTTGTTGAGAACTTGAAGGGGATGGAACAGGACCAGGAGTGTAAAGTTCTCTTCTTTTATCCCATGGGATTCAGATTCAGATAGACATTCCAAGACCGATGGTTTATAAAACAAAGAGAAATATAACACTTTCACATATAAATTTAAATTTTATGCACTATATGGGTTAGTATAAGGTGATTTTTGTTAGAATTGTGTGTTAGCTTTGATACGATTGTCAGCTTTGACAAGATTGTCATTGTTGATACAAGTGTCAGCTTTGATAGGAGTGTCATCTTTTTCACTCCTGTCAAAGCTGACACTCCTATCAAGCTGACACCTGTATCAAAGTTGACACTCCTATCAAAGCTGACACTTAAGTATCAAAGCTGACACTCCTATCAAGCTGACACTCCTATCAAGCTGACACCTGTATCAAAGTTGACACTCCTATCAAAGCTGACACTTGTATCAAAGCTGACAATCGTATCAAAGCTGACACTCCTACCAAAATTGACACTCATGTCAAAGCTGACACTCATTTCAAAGCTGACAACCGTATCAAAGCTGACACCCGTATCAAAAATGACACCCGTATCAAAAATCACACTTGTATCAAGGCTGACACTTGTATCAAGGCTGACACTTGTATCAAGGCTGACACTTGTATCAAGGCTGACACTTGCATCAAGACTGACACTGGTATTTTGTTCGTTCAACGAAAATTTAATGTCAGAAGAGGTTTTTCTGTTTTTAGTTGGTGTCTTGAAATATCTAAAAAAAATATGTTATTTAAATGTTATTGATTCACTGATGGAACATTAAGCTCACTTATTTTGGTTCCAGAAGAAAAGCATTTGATGGAGTTTATTCCTTTACTACTGTTAATAGGAAATGAAAGTTTTTGATTAAAATATATTGTAAACTTGTAAAGATGGCTAATAATGTTCAACTCTAGCTTTCCTCAAAGCAGAACCTATAGGTCTTTGCATAAGAGCTTCTAACAGAAACTAGGAGTACAGGGAGACCGAGAAAAATGGCAAATCCAAGTTAAACGTACACACATAAGAAACTTAAGGTATGAAGGGAAATTGATGAGGAAAACAAGATAATCAACAAGGAATGCCTGAATTCATCTGTCAATGCTGTATTACCCAGGAGAACAGAGGTTTTTTTTACATTTCTGGGCCTAGGCTTGCATATGGAAAAACCTCGACTTGAAATTGATACTGGTCTGGTTAGCCAGTTTTTAAGTAAAACCTACAACCCATAGGGTTTCCAACGTAATAGATTATTCTCTTACGCGTAATTACGTGCAGTTACGCGTAATAATTTTCATTTCGTGTAATTTCGCAGGATTACGCGTAATTGGGGAAATATCCATTTCGCGAAATTACGGCGTAATTTCGCGTAATTTCTACAACGTAATTTCGACTTTTTTGAAATCGTTCCGTTCCGTTCTAGAACGAGGGCCTTCAGCTAAATCGTTCCGTTCTCGTTCCTCTTTTTTTTATCGTTCCGTTCTCGTTCTGTTCCGTCCCGTTCCGTTCCGTTCTGAGTAGAAGAACGGTCGTAATTACGCGTAACGAAATTACGACTGGAAACCCTAACAACCCATGGGAACCATGTTAATATCCATCAACCTAATATGAAGAAGCATCAAGTACAAGTATAATTTACAAGTACTGCCTAAGATGTTCTCAGTTTCAATCCAACTGTTATAATCTACTCCTAGTCAAAACTCCTTTTATTACATTTGTCATTATTTATAGGCGGAGATTCTGACATTGAGTTTGGTGCAGTGTTCCTTTTTCTTTCCTCACCATTCAACAGAGCCAGGAGGCATTAATTGTGTATAGATCTATATTTAGTAAAGTTATTAACATTAAACAATTTACCAACCTGCTGAGGTAGCAAATTCCAGAAAACTTGCAAGAATTATTTTATTATTATTAATGTTTATAGGTTCAGTGGCAGCAGCTGAGATATTGAATTTAGAAACATATTTTTAACTTTGATAATTTATTTTAATTAAATTTTACAATATTTTTTAATTTTTATGCGATATCAGATTGAAATATTTTGAGACTTCTATATTTCTTGTTCTTTACATTTTCATCTTGAATGTCCATCCTTCATCCATCCTTTAATCATACTTTGGCTACTTTTGAAAATTAAAAGAAATGCATATTTTGGATGTCCTGGCAGTTAGCCAAATTGCAAGAAAGAACTACACATTTTTCAGCATGTTTTATTTTGGGTAGGTATACATAGAGGGGGGAGGATGTGACGTCTACCATCCTGTGTATTTGTCTTCTTTCGCTATCGGTGAAAAAAAAATAGATAGTGTAAAGCTCAAATCCCCTTCTAATTTTCTGCTCAAAGTTTTCTTCTTTTTTCTTGTTTTTCTTGTTTTTACACTTTAAGGTCTTTCCAAATAGTTCTTT